TCAGGGGTCCAAGATTATCTTCTGTGTCTGTGTTAATTGGTTTCCCTTTTCTTTGTTGAAGAGGGTCTGTGCAATCCTTCTGCCTAGTCTGCCATCTTGCCCCGCCTCCAATTTTTGGTTTTTTATGGAAGAAGTTCCCCAGGCCTTTCTTCAGCATTATCCCTCTGAGCAGGTTTCCACCACCATCCTTTAGTTTGGCAATCGAACACTTAACCTTTGTGCCATCATAATTAAATAGAAATATATTGAGACCCACATATATCATGGGTCTCAGTGAGAAAGTAGGATTTGATAGCGAGAACTTCCCGTGCAGGAGTCTGGTATACACTGAAGAGCAGATGGGCAGCTTTTCCTTTTTAATTTCTCTCAGCTTATTGGCTGGTGCTTTGGTCAAGGCCAAGTCTGAACATCTGAAAAACACAGCAGCCTTTAACCTCATAGTGCTTGTCCTGGTATCTTATGACTAGTATGTCACCCTCTTGGCTGTTCACTCATGAGGAGCTGCCCCCACACCCGGCACAGCACCAAGCACGTAGTAGGCACTCAATGTGGGAAAATAAATAACGGTCCAACTGTGACTGTGTGTTATGGATAGCAGGATTTGCTCCCCCAAAATCCCGCTGCTCTACAATCACCCCAACAGAATTTCAGCTTACTGGTGTGTAATGAGTTATTTCCACTTATGCAGTTGAAATCAACTCAAGGGCATATGTTATCCATTCCAGTGAAATAGGATGCTTGACGCAAACCAGACAAGCAGCATGTGGACAGTCAGCCCCAGGTCCAGGTACTCAGCCAGCCCCTGCTGTCTGCTGCAGAAGGCATGCCTGGGAGCGGCGTTCCACGTTCACACTGGGAGCCTCCTATCTGTCCAGCATCTCTGCAGGTCCCCACACTTGCCTGGGACATAGGACAAGCAGATCTGTCTGTGGAGCTGGACTCAGTGTCACTCTGATGTACAGGACAACTCCAGAGCAGCAGAAATAAGGCCCATTTCACACCGTTCATATTCCTGCTTGTCATCTGATGGGGTCACAGCCTGGCTGGACATAAGATAACGAGACTGGCTGATCCCTTACCGTCACATTCTCGGCCTCTGGGTCCTCCTGCAGTGGCGTCCCCAGACCTGCAACCCACAGCACAGCCTAGGGCATCCTGCCACCTGTGGGGCTGTGGACTTCTGGCTGTGGGCTCTTGGCTGTGGGCCCCTGGCCAGGGTGTGTCCTCTTGGCCGTGGGTCCCTGTCCATGAGTTGTCTCAACCAAGTCACCATCCCTGGAGTTAGGGTCTTTTTTGTCCTTGTTCCAGCTGGAGCTGACAGTCACTCTTTCCTAGCAACACTTCTTGTTTCTAGCAACTGTATACCCAAGTCCAAGATTCTCAAGGGATCCTGAGCCCAAAGGTGGGAAGTGTGCATGTAACACAACACTTGACCTTTCAGCATCTTCACATGTACAGGAGCACTGGTGGCACAGTGGTTAGGTCATTCAGCTGCTAACCAAAATGTCCACTGTTCTAACCCAACTGTTCTAACTCAAAGATGAGGCAGTCTCCTTCCACAAAGATCCCGGCCTTGGAGACCCTGAGGGCAGTTCCACTCAGTCCTCTAGGGGCGCTGTGAGTCGGAATCAACTCCACACAGTGGATGTGGTTTGGGCTTTGCTTCTATGAAGACTGATAGCCTTGGAAACCCTGTGGGGCAGTTCCACTCCATCCTCTAGAGGTGCTGTGAGTCTGAATTGACTCTATAGCAGTGTTGTGTCCCCACCCCAGGACACACACATAGCACACACTTCAGTGACATTATGCTCCTTACATTGTTCAGCCATCACCTCTAGGGACCCTATTGACGTCAGCCAACTAGAAGATGAGGAAGCCTGGAGCGCCCCCCAGAATTTCCCGTTTCCTTCTGCTCTAGAGCAGCAGAAACCAAGGCCTTGTCCAAGGTTGTGAGCCTGCCTGGGAGCCCCAGGCTCAGGATGCGTCCCCGATGGGCTGAGTCCTGGTGCAGCTTCTTTGCCATCATGTCTGTGCATGAGAATCACCGGGAGCTTGTTCGTACTCTGGGCCTTTGTCGTAGCTCTGGGAGGGGTCCAAAGAGCTGCCTTTTTCATACCCCCTCCCTCCAGGTATTTTTTTACACAGGTGGTTGCTGCCACAGGCGTGACACTGCAGTCCAAGACGGGGCTGACACTGCTGTTTCCGAGGCGGGTGTTTATTTCTCCTGAGACCAGTGCTGAAGGTGCTCCCAACTGGCTCTGGTTAAACAGCTCATTTCGTTCGGGACAGTTATCATCAAAGCTCAATTTAACTAAATTGAGAAGGTCCCACACCAAGCCCGAAGGCCTGGGCTAGGCACTAGAGATGCACTGGCTTTCCTGTAATTAAACTACAGCTGTGGAAAGGAGGGGTGAGAGGAGAACAGAGGAGATGATGAAAGGAGAGAGAA